AGGCACGATCAGTCGTGTTTCACAACGATGCAGTAGGCAGGTGATAAAGTACAAAAATTTGCAGAATAGACAGTGATGTAAAACACGAAGGCGCAGAAATGTACAACAAAATAGTGGAACATGGTTGTTTGAATGATTCATGGTTCAGGGTACCAGATTCATCAGATGGGAAAATCGTTTAATGTCGATGCAAGGATCGCATCTGGACTGGACTGAACTAGTACAGATGACTAATGACTGGTTGAAGGCACTTATTTGTCCAGCAACCGAACACTACCATTTTTTCAGTTGGCTTTTCATATACAGTCAAGACGTTGTTACACTGTCGGAACAAAGTATAATGTCCAGACTGAATTAGATCAGATCATTGTCACTTTGACCCGATTTTGCTTATCAGTTTTATGATTGCGCACCGGCTTTCACTGATAGCAACGGAAGATATGTATTCGTTTTACATCCGGTTTTTGATAGCCAGTATATGCAGTGATATTATATTTTGATGTGACATACTTTGTTCAGTTAATGTCACAACGTCTTGACTGTACGTAATGTGCAAATTGAAAAATTGGCGCTGTTCACATATTGGACTTCGTCCAGTCTTGACGAAGCTGCGGTCTGAGCAGTGAAATGCGTTAGCTTTAAACGGTTTTGCTGTCTGCTGCATTTGGTGACTGAACCTTGAATCATTCAAATAACCGTGTATATAACTATGGACCCAGAATCAGAAACCTGAAGAATCATATAAAGTAATGGAACTTTGGAAAGATAGATAAAGAGAGTATGTTTGGGGGAGGGTGATTGCCAGAGCATCGGGTGGATTTTCAAGCAAAACAGATGTCAGTGGACCTGCTGTGGTTATTACGCGTTCTTCCCTTCTTCATCGAAATACGCAGACAGTTTTTAATAAGTTTGTTCTGAATTCATTGTTTGCGTAATGCATTTAGTTTTAAATTTTGGCTTTATGTTGAGACTTAGGCTTAACCTCTACACGTCCTCGCAAATAACGTGGAATTCTGAACGTAATAATGCGGATTGATTGTTATGCAACTGCCAAAATATGTTTTGAAATAGACATGCATATATCATATTATTTCAGGACTTAAAACGTTCATATACATGCATTTGTAGCCATACCCTTTTGCTGGGCTGTTCCCTGAAACGATTATATTTTATTCGGTGGTGAGTCTCTTCCTAACTGTCTTTTGTTTGTTGAGGAAAAACTGAAGAATGCGATGTACGCGATCACCATGGCCAGGAAAATCGGCGCGAAGGTGTATGCTCTGCCCGAGGACATCGTTGAGTGCAAGCAAAAAATGGTGATGACGGTTTTTGCGTGCCTCATGGCCAGGGACTACTTGCCGAACATGCACGAACAGCCGGCTCCTCAGCCGATCGCCCCCACGTCCAGCGACAACAGTCCAATGAGTGGCCGCCGCAGTCATCACTCTTCACCGTTCATCAACGGTTCTAACACCCCTTCCACCCCTACTCCCGAATCGTGAACGACGGCGGCCACGGTGGCGGCCTTGTACGATACACAGTGGTGATGATTTATATTCGTTGCGTGGAAATTACTACCTTTTATTGACCGTTGTGATGCGATACATATCCACCGCTCGCTCGCCCTCGCGTCTGCGCGTTTTCCAACCTGTACCTTCGTGTGTAAGCGTTTATCAAGCAGCTCACTTCCAAACTCGTTTGTTGCGCAGCGCGCCGATTTTCATTCCGTATCTATTTATTTTTATTATAATTATGTTTAAGATTATTCCTATTATTACGATTCCATTTACAGTTTGTTCTTCGATTTATACGTTTCTTCTTCTTCTTGTTGTTTTTTCTTAGTTTTTTTCAACAAATACTG